GTGCGTTAATAAAATAAAATTGTTTGATGTTGTGCTAAGTAGCTATAAAATTTGAAAAATGAGCCCATTTAGTAGGTAGTTAGAGCAGGGCCGCTTTCATTTGCATGGGCAACAGCCTGTTGGATCGAGGTGCTGATGCTGCGCAATCCGAATCCCAGCCAAATGAAGCTCATAGCTGCCGAGTGGCCGGGTAGCCGGGTAGCCTACTACCGCCAGGCTCCACTGACAGCCCCGTAATGTATATGTGCCTCTGGCTAATGAGCTTTCTGCCAGCCCCATTCCCCATTCCCCGTTCCCCATTTCGCCGGAGACTGGCAGGCGGTGCAGCTAAGCCCCAGTGAGCTAATTACGACATCGAGTGAATACCCTGGCACATGATGTACGACCTGTGTCGGATAGCAAAGCTTCTTGTCTCCCTAAATCTCTTTTATATAAACTCTTGGACAGCATATTTCACACATTGGTGTACTTGAACTGCTCTATGGAGTAAGTGTCTTTATTTAACTTGGAGCCTATTGCGATCGTAAAACGAATTATTAATTGAGGTAGTTCTCAATTTTCGACTTTCGCTATTGTTTCAGATACCAGAATCAAATGCTTTGATGGAAGTACAATATTAGTTATGTTATATTTGTATCACTGATATTTATTCAGTGAGTAATATTTGGGTGCTCTGCACACACTCATATGCAGCCATGTTGCACATCGTTCCACACAGATTGCTGGTTAAACATCCATAATCCGCTGCGAGTGTTTGAGTGTGCCCGGCCAGGGCAACCGCATCCGCCAAGAACATGCAGATGGCCAAGACAATCTTTCAATCAGACCGCGCAAACACCAAAGCCACCACTCCGCCAAGAAACCGCAGCGCAAACAAAAAGCGCAGCAGTGCGCAGGGACGACCCATCGGTGGCAGTCCCTGCCCTTGACACCTCCTTCCTCGGGGCAACCCACTCGCCCCAAGCCACCCACCTCAACCCACCTGGCACACACACGTGTCAAAGCAAACGGCAATCGGCCACAGCACCTTGAGCAAATGCGGCTCAGTGGGGCGGTGATTGTGCGGCAGCATAAGTGGCACGTTCTGGGCTGCATATTTGTTCAAGTTTATGGCGACAAGCGATGCCATTTGGCATTCGCCATTCGCCCCTCGCCCCTCGCCATTCACCATTTGGTTCAGCATTCTGCAGCTGATGACTTGTTCGATACAAAAGTCGTGGAAAACTCCTCGAGTGCGGCTTGGAATAAGGAAAAGGATTTCTCCGCCTCGGCAGGTGAGCAACAAAAAGTGTTAAGTGTGGAGGTTTTCTTCCTTTTTTATTTAAGCATAAAACTCGTGAGCAAAGTCAGCAAAAGAGCAGCTCCGAAAAGAAAGGGGCTTAAAAGTAAGGCAGGTTTTCCGTGGAAATTGGTTCTTAAATACCCTTAGATTACAGCAGCCAAGACATGGCACTTTCCAAGTCCTTAAGTTTCGATATTAAACCAATAGTTGCTGGGCCAACCGGTGGTAGTATCTAATTAAGATCGAAATTCAAAAGCAGCTGGTTCCATTTCGATAGATTAAATGATTTAAGTGATTAAAGAAGAGTTGTGCATTGCACTAGCCAAATAGTGATTAGAAATTTTAAAGCCTGCTCCAGTTTTGTTTATATATATAATATTATATTATATATATTAATATTTCAAATTTATTTTTTTTAGTCACAAACGACGTGTAACAATTGTAGCAACTTCGGCATTAGGGTATGCAAACATAAAGTTTCAGGCCGAGTTATCGCAAAAATACAAGGCAGGAAATCGGGGTGTTGGCAAAAAATTTGCATGCAAGTCAGAGAAACGACTTTTCGGACTGGGTCCTTTCGAAACATTCGACGTGTGTGCGTGTGTGTGTGTGTGGGGCTGTGCTTAGCGATAACACTTTGACAGGATTACGCCTGCTTAAGGACCGCATCAAAGCCGACACCCAGAACACACCCACACGTCCTGCAAAGGATATTACCGCAATGCTCCTTGCGCCGCCTTCGATTGCCAATTGAAAAGACATTTGCAGGCACATTTTCCTCCACTTGCCACAGCTCCGCCGCTCAATTCAACTTAACTGAACTCAACTCAAGCGGACTGAACCTGATTCGGTTCGGTTCGGTTCGGTTGGGTTTGGTTCGGTTCGAGTCCGGAACAAAGTTTGCATGACTTAAAAGTTATGTGGGGATTGGGTCGTAGACCGAGAACGTGAGGTAATTTCTAATATTTAGCTCTAAATTAAGTTAAGAAAAGGGTTGCAGGCTCTTCTGCGGTCGGTTGAAAGTCTTAAAGGAACTCGATGACTTTACCAGGCGTATTTTATTGCAGGTCGCAATACGAAACCATTTCGTATTCGTATTCGTATTCGTATTTGTCTGCGTCTGGACAGTTGGTTTATTGGTCACACTTGGACTCTCACATAATTTATGTGGGAATCTTGAGCAAGTCACTCCCCATCACATCAGTCAGCCCAGTCAGCCCAGTCAGCCAAGTTACCAAGTTACCAAGTCACTGCCAAGACACCGAGACACCAAGACAGTTGCCTAGTTGCCTGGGCCAAGCTCAAATGAATTGTGTGAACCAAATTAAAATCAAAACAAAGCATCGGCAGGGAGAACTGCATAGTACATATATAACCCGGCAATGAACGACAATCAGATATCCTACCTGTTGCAGATTAGGCGAGGGAATACATTATGTTCATCTCAATTAAGCAACCCCGCTGCCAGATGCACATACCCTGCAATCAAAGAGTCGACGACTTCTGCTGAAAGCCCACAAATGCAGAATCACATTTCACACAGGGAAACGCTTCATTGGCGGCTCAAGATACAGATGGAATATTCTGAAATACATTAATAGCCGTTATTAGTGAGGCCTGTGTGAGCCCAGGCTTTTTGGCCAAGCTCTTGCCACAAGCCCCTAATATCTTTCCCCAGATACGTTTGGAGTTTGAAACATTTTGGTACACATTTTCTCGCCGTGTGGCGGCAGCTGGCTAACTCTGAACTCAAACGGGAACATCCCTCTAACTGGGACTCACGGTTCAACTTGCGCGTTGCGTGTGCTGAAGGCTTTCGTTCCTGAAACCAATGCATGCCGCTAATTGCTGAGTACTTGAGAAACTTACTACCGCTAAAAGTCAAGCAAGCATTTATTAAACTCATTAAAAAAATGGGGGAACAAAAGGGAAAAACTGGGAAAATGTTGCAGAAAAAGCATTGCGTGTGGTTTACACGATGCTCATGATGTTCACGGTGTTCATGATGTTCATGATGTTCATGGTGGCCATGATGCTCATGTGTCTGAACCCAAAACAAAGAACGCACTGATAACCCAGCCACGCCCATTTTCCCGCTGGCTTCTGCTTTTGATATGCAAATTTTCGAGTGTAACGAAAAAGTCGAGCAGAGGGGGCGACACTTTAACACCCACCCATTTTGCGACCTGACGCAAACAGTTATAATTAATTGCCTGTTCGGAATTGACAACCCACTCACCGCTCCGCTCCACTGCGGCCCACGCTCCAGCTCCAATCAATAAAAAAAGAATAAGCCTCAGCCATCCGAAAGTTACACTTGTAGAAACTGAGATATGGATACTTTGTGACGGACGGAACAGGTTCGCCCGGCCAGCCGAAGATCAAAGCCCCATCATCTGCTCAGTCCGCTGCTGAACATCCGCTGTCTGCCCACACGGAGTTGACTCCAACGCCATCATACAGTGGTTCCGGTGGATTGCAGTTAGGTCTAACCCTTCCCCTTAGCCCACTTAAGTTTGAGTCTGGGATTAGGGCCTTTGTAAAAGGTTTGGAGGTGAAGTTGAGCTAGCTGAAATATTATTTTAATATATTGATAAGCTCATCGAAAACTGATAAATTCACTTGCAACAGAACATGGAAATGTTGCATATTTTCCCACGATTTATTTGTATTTTCCCCTACATTCTGCAAATCAAACATTTATGCATTCTGACATTGTTAAAAGCCAAGTATTTGGCTGCGCCCATTCGATCCACCGTGCAATATCTTGTGAACTTGATTTGGGGAGCGAATGTGTGTGAAATCTGGTTTGTGTACATGGCTCAAACTGGATTTGGCGCTTGGGATTTTTATGAATGAATGAGAGTGGCAACAGCAGCTATAGTTTGCTTCCCCATGGCCATTTGCGTTTACTACGTAGAAGTTGCGGCTGCTGTTGTTGTGGCTTTCGCAATATGCTCTGCCGCAGATACAAGATACAACACACCAGATACCAGATACTGCGGAGCGCGCGGATCCGGTGCGGGGCTGTAGATACTGGTGTTGGGTACTCGTATCCAAAGCCGGGGCCTGGGCAAATAATGAACATGGAACGACGCGTCGCAGGTGTATTGCCAGCCATCAGCCCGTTTCCCGTGGCCAATGCTTGAACCATAGCCCCATGGCTCTCGAGTTACTTTCCAGAGCCACAGTTGGCCACAGTTCATTAATAAAATTCACTGAAGCGAAGCAACTCTGCTTACCCGCCCATTTGTTTGGCCGTGTGTAGGTATCCCATGGATTCATTTTGGGTTTCATCGCTTTTTCATGTATTTGCAAGTTAACATTCTAGTTCGGGTTTTCTTCGAAAACGTAACTAATTGAATAATAATCCGTGCATTTCCATATGAATAGCCGATTAAGACAAGTTGTTCATTTAGCATATATGGCTTTTGAGTATCGGAGCATCGTTGGATACGCCTTGCTATCTCCCTCTGTGGTCTATGCCTACTTCAGGCTTTCTCAATTGGGATTAGGTTTTTGTGTGAGCTTAAATAGATATCAGCTTATACGCTCATTAGTTCCCATGTACAATGTAAGCAAAGCTAATTAACTTTAAATGCACTTCCTGTGTAAGAGTGATGATGTGTGCTCAAACCACTTTAAAATTATTGGAAAAGATGTAAACAGTTCTGCAGAAAAACAACATTTATTTGGTCAATAAGACTTGGGGAATACTCTAGTTAGCTCGAGGTCGCTTTTTGCTTTTTATGTGTTCCATCGATTGAACAAAGAACTTTGCGATGCCCACATATTCCGTATTCGTAGAATTGGAATCACTGAACATTACGCTGATTTGATACTGTCCGTGGGGAAACGGCGGAACGTAACTGGTGTTCAGATACCCGTTTCTTGCACTTAGCTGACCCCGCTGTTGTGGAGAAAAAATACGAATAGAGATAACAATTTTTAAAATGCATTAATACCGGAAAGTGACAGCTTTTAGCATTCGTGAAGCGCTGAAAATGTTCCCAAATCATAACGCCATATGGCAAAAAATTCTTCCTTTCGACCACTTCGCACAATTTGAAAGTCGCGTCAATCAAGAAAGGCTTAAACTGGTTGCTATAGTCCTTCATAAACACTTGAACTCGAATCTGAAATTTTGAAGTTTGTATAGCGGGCTTTGTGTTGTGCTGAGTTACGGCACAGTCTTACTGTCGGGTTTATTATAGGAAAAATTAGGTAGCATTCCATATTCACCAATGCCATATTCCAGTTAACCGCCTTCACATTGCAGGAAACATTTTTCACCCGCGCCTCATTTACTAGGCACTCGACCTTGTTCAGTTTATATACCAACTGGGACTCCGTCTGGTGAGATATTAACCTTATACGGATTTATTTCAAGTTCTGGGCTTGATTCTCACCATATGCCAAATGAAGCTGATGCCCAGAAGCACCAGCCAAGTGAGCGGCATTTTGATAACTGACTGCCCATTGTATTTAAGTGAATTTGGGTTTGTAACCATTCAATATTGATATACATATAATATGTTTTTAATGAAAGACCAGAGGTCAATGCTGACAAAAAAAAAACGATTTAAAAAGCAATTCATTTTTCAAACAACAAGAACAGTTAACCCAATATTTGTGAAATGGAAAATATATTCATTTCGCAGTAACATACGTAGCCCTTTGCATATATTGTACATAGTATTACCTATTATTTGTATACCCGTTACTCGTAGAGTAAAGATTCTTTGAAAAGTATGTAACAGGCAGAAGGAAACGTTTCCGACCATAAAAAGTATATATATTCTTGATCAGGATCAATAGCACAGTCTGCCGACTTGGCAGATATTCCAGAAAATCGGGAAATTTCTCGTTTGCACTTTCACTGGTTGAGTAACGGGTATCTGATAGTCGGGGAACTCGACTATATCATTCTATCTTCTTTACTTTTTTATTTTTTGTTAATTTCTATCGATATACAAAAAGACTATTGAACTTTCTTAATCGCATTCCCACTAGCTGTGTAACGGGTATATGACTTAAAATTTATTTTTACAATAAGTTTGTATAACTTATTAATATTGTTCGAAAACCTAGAAAATTTCACTGTTTCTGAAAGCTTGATCGAAGAAATTTATATTTAGATATCTTTTAAAATGAATTCTTCAGTAAATTCTAATAAATTTAAAAAAATAACATTCGCAAATTGCCTACTAGATCATTTAACTTTTGATGAACTTCTTCTGTTTTACAATGTTTTTTCAATAAGAAGTTTGTATTCACTTCATAAATAAAATATCAAAAACTAATTTCCTACACCGACGTTCTCTCACCATAGTTATCAAAAATCGGTCTTCACATCATACCGACAATAGATTGTTTTTTGAAAACCCACATAAGCTTGTATTTTCATCTCGGCTAATTTAATCAGCAGCATTCAAAATCAATGAATAAATGATAAAAACCAATATTACCCACATTCCACGGGCTTAACTAAAGTGCTATCCACGCTGCTTCTTTTCGGTCCGCATAATCCCCATTAAATGCCATTCAATAGACAATGTACGGGTAATACTTTAATCCATTAAAGCAGCTGCAGTTGTGAAGTTTTCGGTTGGCATTCGACGTTGGCCGTTTGCTCTCTTTTTGTATATTTATTTTTTTTTTTGTCCTGCACGACCATTTCCCCACTGACAGCTGGCAATTGTTCAATTATTGCACAGTGGCTCGGCTCTGTGGATCAGTGGCATATCCTGGCAGACTGGACCTCCATCGGCATCGGCATCGGCATCGGTAACGGGAGTGGGAGTGGGAGTGGGAGCGGGAGCGGAAAAAGGAGGCAACGAACTATAGTTTAATCATAAAAAATGCATGCGCCCATAGAATAAATCCCAATGCGTCAATTGCCCTGTCCTCCACTCCCTGGATGCTGTTAATTGCATATCAATGCAGCATCAGCATCGGGAACTGAAACGGAATTGGCTCGGAGATGGAGATGGAGATGGAGCAGGATCCAGATACTGATGATGCAGTTCATCAGAGTGTCATTGACATCGCCGGCGGTGGTTACATTATATGGGCACCGCCAGCTGCTCGCCGACTGATAGTTGTAGCCACGAACGCCAATTAAACTGATAGACTTTTAACGCATTTTGCGATTTTAATTATTAACTTGGTCTATCGATAAGTCAGCCGTCCAACATGACTTCATTTCGCATTTCTCCGCCCCCTCAGCTCCCCGCCTGCATGATGAATGCCTTTTTAATGACATCACATGTGTCCATCTGTGTGCGGGTGCGATTGTAATTGTGTTGGAACATTCTTTGTGGTGTGTGTGAGCTTATAGAGACAGTGCAGCCGGTGTTGGCGATTTAAAGCAAAATCGCGCATAGATACAGCTCCAAAAATCTGTAAAACTCCCCAAATGTTCTCAACACAAGTGCGCTTTTTAGATATTCATATTCAAATTTATGTTATGGAGTTGACTGCAATGAAATAGTCAGCAAAATAGGTTTACGGAAAATCCGTAATATTCCGTAATTTACGAATAAATCACACAGAAAATAAGCAGTTTGCAACTGGTCATATATTAAACTAAGGGCGAAACATCAAATATTTATGGTTCGCATTAAAAGTATTTACTTATTTAAGCCTATATTGGTTTATGGCAAATATGGTAAGTGTCAGACTCGAATTTTAAAGTGCCTTAAATAAAGCAAAAGTAAATATTTTAGAATATAGATGGAAATGCCAAGAATTTACATTTATTAACATTTACTATATAGTTTTCAACACGTCTGCTAATTGCAAATTACAGATTTCAGCCAATAACCTTACATTTTAATAACCGCTCCAATCGTAAATATATTATATTATTACTATCCAGTCAGATGAAGAGAGAAACCCTCTAAAATGAAGAAAATTTGCCACATCTGAGCAACAGTTTCCGCATAAACTCGATTTGCTACCAACTATGTGGCAGCATGTGGTTTATCCATGGCTTACGGATCGGTTCGCCACCCACATCCACTTCTGTCCCATGTCATTGCACATTGTCCCCATTTTAATGTTTTGCAATTTGGCAAATTTATTATGCCAGGATTTGAGTCACAGGCGCCCAACGTGTCATTTATTGCATTTATCATGGATGCACATCGACCCCGAAAACGTCACTGCGTCACTGCATCACTACGTCACTACATCACTACAAGCGGCCACACGGAGCACCGCACACTTCAGCTGAACTGCCAAAGCCTGACACTGATTGCAATTTTAATTTACAATAAAACTCATTAGCAGTGATTGCTGTTTACTGTTAGTCGGAGACAGCCGTTAGGGCCCAACTAAATGTGCCACAAGTGCAGCGACCACCCAGCCACCCAGCCATCCAGCCAACTGGCCAACTCCCCATTTGCCCACACTATCCCATCCTAAGTGCATAAACGTGTCGGTGTATTACGAGTTCATTTGCTCCGCACTTGCCGGCCTAGGGACCTCATTCCGGTGCCCCTCATCCACATTATGCATCCATGCCAGCACTCGTCCTCCCTGCAGATTCAGTATCCCGCCTGTGTTGACTTTGTGAGGCATCATCATTACCAGTGGGCAACCTTAAGCCGTAATGTCTTGGAACCACGGAGCACCGACTGCCGCCCATGGAATCAGTCACCTTCCATTCGATGGGCATTCTAATTACTGTTGGTCCAGCAAATCCCAAACTGTTTGGATGTGTAAATATGATTGTGATCCCGCTGGTAGCAGTAATTAATGCGTGTTCTGTTCCACACATTTGGAACATTATTCTTACTGGCTTAATGAACACCGATTGGTCTTTAACTTTTTGCAACTCAATTGGATATTTCATAGCCTTTGACCTTGTAACTCGCTACTTATGGAAAAAGGGTCTGTGATCCGATTTCGGGTATTTGCATCCAATTTTCCCAATTCCACGAATTTTGGCCAACTGGTGCTGGCCAAATCAATATAATACGTACGTTGGCTAATGTAATGCAGCTCATTACAATTAATCATGCGACCGATAAGCCGGCTAAGCCGCATTGCACTAAAATCGAATAAACCATACAGGTCGATATATATATATATATGTTCATGTATAGTCTGTATCGTGTGCTGTCATTCACACGCCTAAGCCGACAGAGTTAAACATTCGCGTCCCTTGGGTTTGAATCCGTTTTAATTAAGCAAACGCCATGGCATATTTTACTTAATTTCATTATGCAACCTATTCGGTGAAGGCAAGCCTTTGTGATCGACCACACCATTTTGCTGTTATTATTACTGTTATTGGCTTTAATTAGGTATTACCGCCAGCATTCGCATATTAGCCATGGCTTTGTGCGCACGCATTATAGACCGTGTGCGTGAATTATGTGTTAATTTATATTAATGATCTCTCCCCTCAGTCGCCGTTTGGTGTGAAATGCAATTGAATTCCTTTTTCCGAATGCTGCTGATGCCTGTATTTTAAAGAACTTTAAGAGGTGCTTAAGTAAGGTGCTTAATTACGGGTATCTTGATACGTTTATACAAAATCACAAACATCGATAAATGCATAAGCGGTAAGAGAAACAATTTAAGTCGCTGGATAAATGGGTAATAAACAAAACTCACCCTATGAATATTTTATGAAAGGCTGTAGCTTAAGGAGAACAACCTAGATATACCCTTTAAATATATTATTTAGTTGTTGAAAATAATATGAACTTTTCTTTAGCTGACTTTTATATTAAGACTTATTTCTGTAATGGTTCCTTATTCCTTAAAATAAAAAATGTAAAAATAATTACTCTTCCTGCCACTTTTAATGAGGGCGAACATGTTGGTTGCTTGTACTTAAGAGAAAGTAATGTGAAATGGGAATGTAAATGCGCCAAGAAGTAAGTGAGCCAGGCTGGAAGTGTAAAACTTCATCTCTCTTGGCCATTTTCCCTGGGAATTCGCCGGTATTTTTGCATACGCTGACCAGTTGATGACCAGGTCCAGACGAGGACTACAGACTGAAAGCAGGTGATGTTGATGCCGCGGCGCTTGCGTTAATAATTATGGAAAATCAACGCTTCGGCATCATTTGGCAACTCATTAAAATTCATAAATTATACTTCAGCGTTTCATTAAAAAATCAGCCAGCGATTGCAGACGCCATGAAGTTGGACCTCCTCTTCACTAGATGCTGTGTGTGCTTTTATTTTTTAATGCCGTTGGTAGCGAGACAAAAACAATTTAATTGATACGAATACTGTCATTTAAGCAATGCCTTTTTTTTAGAGAAGACCGACCTGGAAAAACCACATTAATACAAATACATTAAATCAATATGAAATAATTTAATTAAAAACTTAAGTGTACAGGACAAAAAGAAGAATGATAACAATGATGATAATAATTCGCATTTAAATTGACAGCGCTTTAACAGCTTGGAATTAATTAACGATGGGTTTAATCAATGT